CATGGACTAACAGGGTGGACACAGAGGATGGACACACAGGGTGGACATGGATGCACAGGGTGGACTCACAGGATGGACATGGACACAGTGTGGATGCACAGAGTGGACATGGACTAACAGGGTGGACACAGAGGATGGACACACTGGTTGGACATGGATGCATAGGGTGGACATACATGATGGACATGGACACAAAGGATGGATGCACAGGGTGGACGTAGACTAACAGGGTGGACACAAGATGGACACACAGGTTGGACATGGATGCACAGGTTGGACATGGATACAAAGGGTGGACATGAACCCACAGGGTGGACACAGACACACATGATGGATGCACAGAGTGGACATAGATGCACAGGGTAGATGCACAGGGGGGCTGCATGCCAGGCAGAGTGGTTGGGGTAGGCAGGGCACAAAGACAGAAGTACACCCCATGGGACATCAGGAGGGGTCCCCAGGGAGTGGACCAGAGGCCTCAGGGTTCTGGATCATGGAAAGGTGGCCTCACCTCCTTCAGGGATCCCCCAGGGCTCCAGACACTCCCATCCCTCCTGGAAACTTCATCTGAGCCAGGGAGGATCTGAACTGGGGAGAGAGGGAGAGATGGCCACTGTCAGGCCCCAAGTGGTGGCCCCAGCTCTGCTTTCAGCTGGGCTTTCCCCACTCTGGGACATGGCGGGACTGATGAGGGCCCAAGGTTCCAGCCCGTGTCCTGAGGCCCAGAGATGGGGACAGCATCTGCCTGACACCAGCAACAAGGGCCCAGGAATCAGTAGTGAAACCAGCCAGCCAGTCACAAAGACACCAGTATTCAGGGCCATGTGGAAGCCGTTCTTGAGGCCAGACCCTGGGCCCTCCCAGTACTAGCGCTGTTTTAGGCCAATCTAAATGCCTCGGGAATATTTAAAACTGCAAAAAAATTGCTGTGAGAACCAAGGAAGACCCCATGCAGGATTTACAGATTCGGTGGCATTCCAACCGATCTGCAGCATGCTATTTTTCCTTTTCTTTTCTTTTTTGTAGAGAATGATTAAAATTCATATGAAAACGCAGAGAAGTGAAGGAAGGACAAATCTGGGCCATTGTCACCAAGACGGACAGACTCCCAGAACGTGGAGTCCAGAAAGAGAGTCACACATGAGCAAGCAAACTTCCCAAAGGCACAAAGGAGCCCCCAGGATGAGGGTGGGCTTCAGCAGAGGGCGCTGTGACAGCGGCAGGTGCAGAGAAGCTAGCAGGTGCTGTAGACCCTCCCTCAACACTAAAGAAGTAACAAGGGTGGCCACGCACCTCAGCGCAGAGCTGAGATCACCAAACTCCTGGGGCATAAGAGGAAGCCCTCGAGACCCTGGGTTAGCCACACAAAGAAACCACACACACATGCACGACCCAGCAAACATTCGCCACATAGTCACATGCACGCACCACACACAATGCACACCCAGTCATACACGCCACACACATACAAACCACACATACCACACACACCCCACAAACTCATACACACACACACCACACACTCATATGCACATACTCATACACACCACACATACACACCACATACTCATGCACACCACTCATATGCACACACTCATACGCACATACTCATACACACCACACACTCATACACACCACTCATATGCACACATTCATACACACCACACACACATACACACCACACATACACCCCACAAACTCATACACACACACCACACACTCATACGCACACACTCATACACACCACACACACCACACATATACACCACACACTCATATACACCACTCATATGCACACACTCATACGCACACACTCATACACACCACACACTCATACGCACACACTCATACGCACCACATACTCATATGCACACACATACACACCACACACACAGACCCCACATTCATACACATACACACCACAGACTTATACACACACACCACATCCAGCACACACCACACATACATGCACATCACACCCCACACACTGCACACCTCACGCCACACACCTCACACCACACACTGAACACCTCACACCGCACACCACACCCCATACACTGCACACCTCACACCAAGAAGTTCTACCTCCTGATGAAGCCGTTGTGGATTCTTCCTCAGTTTCTTTGGTTCTGGAATCTTCCACGCTGCCGCCTCCAGCCAAGGGTGGGGAAGTGACAGGGGGAGGCCTGGGGAGGCTGGGCTCTAGGGCTGCACCCTGAGGGAGGAGAGTGGAAACGCCTGTGACTGAGCTCACATGGTGCCTGTGACCCTCACACTGCTCTACATGGCAAGGCTGATGGGCCAGCGACACGGGTAGGCTCCGGGATGGAAGGGGAAGCATCGCTTAGCTGTGAGTCCCAGGCTCTGCCCAGAGCTGCAAGCCAGGCTCCCTCCAGGTGGCCCTGATGGGGGGGCCACAGCCCAGGTCAAGGTGCCATCCCCCCAGGGCTGCTCAGGGACGAGAACTGCCATGGGGACGGGAGCTCCCTACCCACCATGTGCTGGGTACAAAGGCCCATGCATCAATCTGATCTGAGAAGAGCTGCATCCTCTGGGGTTATGGAGGCCGTGTCCCTTCTGCATCCCACTGGCAGGGACTTTGTCCCTGCTCTGCCCCTCCCGTGCATTTCCTCAAGTGGTCTGAGCTGGATAAGCCACGAGCATGGCCACCTAGAAACCCGTCCTAGTGGCCCTCCACCACCGTTCCCATGTCAGACGCACACACCGGCTCATCCCCTTATGTGGGAGCAGGGGCAAGTGGGAGCCAAGATCACCCAAAGAACAGGAGCCCACTGTAAAGACACTCTCTCCGAGGGAAGAGGGTCAGGCTCAGGCTCAGGCAGCTGTCTGCTCCTCTTAACACCCATTTCCCACAGGTGACATGCCCATGGGACACGCAGAAAGCCCATGGAAGTCACAGGCATGTGCACATGTGTGCACACCTGCCGTGGGTCTGTCCCTGGCCCGAGAGTGGTGCCCTGCGAGACCCAGGTGGGTCAGCTGGACATCCACGGCTGCTCACCGTGTCTTCCCTGGGCAGCTCCCGGTTCTCCTCACGCCCACTGCCAAAGTCCCCAGACGCCTGAGGATGGAAGGGGACGAAGAAGAGGATGGTGAGCAAAGGCTCGGACCCAGCAGGGCCTGGAGAGGAACAGCTCCCTCCTTGTCCTGCTGGCACAGCTGGGCACCTGTGTGCTCATGGCCCTCTAGCGTTTGTGGAGGGAGAAGTTGGGGGGCACCGAGAAGCCACGGGAGGACATGCCATGTCCATCCAATCAGTTAGAACACAACTTCAGAGATCAACGTGGTGGTTCCAGAACCATGGAGAACACTGTTCTTTTGTGGCCACATGTCCTGGGACATGCTCACTGCAGCCACCTGTCCAGTTCTGTCCAGGCTGGGCAGCAGTGAGGCACCAGCAGAGCCCCTGGCTCCTAAGCAGCGATGGGAAGCATCACGATCCTGGTGCTTCTGGCTTGTGTTTTCAACTTAATAAAAACCTGGAGAAGAAGCATTATCCAGCCCACTAATGGCCTAGGGCTCAAGGCAGGTGCAACATGTGCACAGGAGTGCATGTGCCTCAGACGCCCAATAGCCAACCCCACTTCCTGGCAGACTGTGGCCCGTGCTCCCTGGAGGCAGAGCCGGGAGCAGGTGCTATCACAGCTACTTTCCTAGATCCCTCTCAGATAAAACCAAGATATTTATCAAGCAAAACATGGGAAAAACATGCAAATGTAAGGTGGATCGACACCAACTGCCCACGGCCCACCACCGCTAGTCCCTGGCTGACAAGCTGCAGTGGCAGTTACGGAGCAGAAAGTGGACATCCACCCCAGGCATCTCGGGATCTGGAGTTGCCCCTGAAATGGGGTTTTCCTACTGCCTGCCTCAACTTCTGGGCTAGTGGATTTTCTTTCTTAAGGACCATGTGATTGTGCACATGGGCACCACACACACACCACACAGACATGCACAACAGAGACACACACAGAGACAGACACACACGTACCACATACACAACAGAGACAGACACACATACATATACAACAGACACACACCACAGAGACTCATAACACACACGCACCACACATATACACACACCACAAACACACACACACCACACAGACACACACACACCACACAGACACACACACACCATGTACCACACTTACACACACACACATACACAATAGACACATATCTACAGACACCACACAGACATGTACCACACACACACACCATGCACACACCACACATACACACCACAGAGACACACACACACCACACACAGAGACAGACACACATGCACATACACAAACACAATAGACACACACCACAGAGACACTCATAACACATAGACACACCCATAGACATGCACCACACACACCATGAACACACCACACAGGCATGCACCACACACACACACCATGCACACACCACACATACACACACACCACACAGACATGCGCCACACACGGACACACACGCATACACACCACATACACAACAGAGACACACACACACCACGCACCACATATACAAACCACAGAGACAGACACACACACGCACACACCACACAGACATGGACCACACACAGACAGACATACACATACACACAACAGAGACACACCACAGAGACACACACACACCACACAAAGGAGACAGACACACGCATATGCACCATACACACAACAGACACACACACATACCACAGAGACATGCACACACCAGAGACAGACACACATGTGCACATACCACATACACAATAGACACATACCACAGAGACACTCATAACACACACACCCCACACAGACATGTGCCACACACACATACCATGCACACACCACAGAGACACGCATAACACAAACCACAGACATACCAACACACATCACAGAGACACACACACGTATACTTGGCTGATGTGATTCCACCACGGCCACCCAACCAGCTACTGCAGGGTAGCTTCTAATATTTATTTTATGTTCTGCGTTTCTTTGTGAGTGGACAGTTCTGATGTCACAAAAGTCCATACAGATGCTCTGCAGGGTTCCTGATGCCCAAAAGGGATATCTCTTTAGACAGCTCCCATCACATCATGTTGGGGCCCTAGGAACTCCTGTGGGGGCAGACCCAAGCCCAGCCCTCACTCACCCCATCCATGTCATCATCGTCCTCGTCCAGGCAGTGCTGGGGGCTCACCTGGGGGTCCCCACGCACCTTCAGCTCTGCGATCATCCCCTAAAGGCAGAAGGATAGAGAAGTCACTTGCAGTCCTGAGGCAGATAGCGTGGGCATGGGGAGGGCCCGACTTGGGAGGATGCCCAGTGCAAAGCCATCCAAGCTGCAGGTGTTGGCAGGTGCCGAGAAGGGTGAGGGCAAATCAGACAGCAGAGAGAGGGCTCTCAGGTTGCTCTAGGCCAAAGCCCATCTTATGTTAGGAAGAGAAGCTGGTGAAGCCCCAAGAGGGGTGTTCCAAGTGTGGTGTGTGCTAGAGGCACTAGGTGCCAACTGCCCAAGTATTACCACTCTAAGGGCACCTCCCAAAGCCAAGGGCGCGGCCAGCAGGCGCGAGTGTGAGTGTGGGCTCACTCGAGGCTGTCTGAGTGTAGCCCTAGCGCTGCTGGCTCACAATGCAGCAACTCGGCATAACCAGGGTCCCCAGAGAGAAAGGCCAGGTCTGGAGGAGCCCCAGGTCCTTCCAGCACGGCTTGAGGGTGCAGTTCACATATGCTGCCCAGCGGAACCGAATTTGCTGCCCAAATCCACCTTTTGACAATGAACAAAAACCAGAAGCCGAGGAAAATACAAAAACTGCCAGAGTTCCTGTCTCTGGCACACAGGTCTGCGCTCACCAGGTTCAGCTTCACTCGCTCCCTCACTCGCCCTTGGGCCCTCTGCCTGGTGTGGTGGGTGGTATGAAGCACTGCCCAGGACCCTGTGAGCCACTGGCAAAGCCACTCACTGGGCAAGGGGGAATGGGGGACAGCAGTATCCTGACCCGTGAATGGACAGGGCCCCCAGGGAGGGCCGGGAGCTGGAGCTAGGGCCAGGGCCTCAGCCAGAGGAGGAAGTCACCACATTGGGGGCTCTAGACCACAGGTCCCACCACCACTCTGCAGGCTCTGAATTCCACAGGCCTTCAGGGCCAAGCACGGGATGCCAGCGGGGTTCCTGAACAGGTGCTGCCATCCGTGACACCTGTGTCCCAAAGTGGCTCCTGCCTCTAATGACACCTTGTAAAGAGCTCTCCCAGCCAGGAGAGGACAAGAGCATTGATGCACATCTTTTCTAGTATTTTGTTTTTCATTTAACATTTTAGTCTAATGGGATTTATTTTAGTGTATTTTTTCCAAAATGGATACCACATTTTATCAATTCTAAGATAACAGAAGGATGTAGATCAGAGGTTAGAAACCTTCTGGGTGAAGGGCCAGATGATAAATATTTTTGGCTTTTCAGGACTTCCGTATCTGATGCAACTGCTCTGTTGTCATGCGGGAAATCAGCCCCAGACAAGGCAGTGCATGGGCGTGGCTGTGCCAAAAGAACTTTACCTCTGGACACTGAAATCGAGTTCCTCGTAATTCTCACGTTGCCAACTATTCCTCTTTTGATTTTTTTTTTCTAACCATTTAAAAATATAACAGCCACTCTAGCGTGTGGGCTGTAGGAAAGTGGGTGGTGGGCTGGGTGTCCACGCGGCCATGCTATGCTGCCTAGCCTGGGCCACTGTTCACCCTGAAAAAGTCCCTTAGACTCCATGACAGCCAGCCCAGGGTGCCAGCAGCACAAGGCAGCAACCACTCAAAATCCCAACTGGGCCTTCACGTGATCAGGCGTACTTGGCTTAAGGGTCAGCCCAGGCCACTGCCTCCAGGAAGCCCTCCCTGGTGAGTCCCCTGGGACCAGTTCTGCCCTGGACTCTTATGTCCTGCCACTAAACCCCTGACCCCCTAGCACTGATGGCAAGGCTTGTGTGTATGTGTGTGCACACGTGTAGTCATGCACATGTATGTGTGTACATATGTATGTCCCTGTGTGTGCACAGATATGCTACACATGCTCCTGGGAGATGAAGGGAGAACCAGGGGACTGTTGGAACAGTGGAGGGAGGGAGGCAGGGCCCCAGGAGACCCCTGCACCCCACAAACACCATGACTTTGTCATTTCCCCAACACAGCTTCCAGCCAGGCCAATACCCCAACTTGTGGGAGAGCCTTTCTTCTGCCAATGTGCATGAGGTGCCAGTTTCACAATAGCAGGACACACACTTGGGGTCAGCCAAGCTGCCACCCCTTTCATGACAGCATCAAGGGAGCCCTGGGTAGTGGTTTCCCCATCACTGGATTGATCCCAGAAAGAGGAAAAAAATTGTCCACCATGATCCAGAAGGCCAAAGGCAGAAGGATGCCCAGGCCTTGCCTCTATGGGTGGAGCTCTGAGGGCCCCCCAGTCTCCACAGCACTGCTGGAGGCCCAGCACCCCACACTGTCTCACACCTGGCTCCCTCCACACCACAGTAGCCATGCTGGCTCCCAATTTTTGTAGGGTGGTCAGAAATCCAAGAGGTCTTGGGGTACACAAAGGCATACACATGGCCTGGCAAGGCCCCAGGGAGGCTTTCAGATGGCAGCCAGGCCCCAGGGAACACAAGCAGTGGCAAGTTCACAGGGTGGCCCCCAGGCTGGTAGGGTCACACGGCAAGACCAGGGGCGACCACACACAGTGAGTGTCATCTCCATCTCCAAGACTACTGGAAAGCCCACCAACACCTGCCATTAGCCCCGTCTCCACTAAACCAGTGCAGAGACTGCATCCTGAGTGCAGTCTGCTCAGGTCCCCTTGTATGGCCTCAGCTGCCCCTCCCTCTAAGTGGGGTCCTTGCCATGTGCGGCTGCCTATTCTCAAAGCCCCTGCTCTTGATGAGCTGGCTACTGGGGAAGCCAGGTAGGTGCAGGTGGGAGAGGACGACTGTGGGGCAAGGGAGCATTGCTATGACACAGGACTGCAGTCTGACGGACCAGTGAGCTGGGCTCATGCAGCCAGGAGGAGAAGGGGTCCTGAGCCCCCAGGAGGGGAGTGTGTGTGCACATGTGTGACAGCATGTGTGTACACAGGCACACATGTGAAAGCAGATGGCCACGGGTGTGCACGTGGTGAGTACTGCATGGGGGGCCTCACCCACAGAAAGCACGGACAATTCTTGGCTTAAAATGCAGTCAGCCTCTGGGTGAGGTCAACAGTCAGCACAGCAGCATGGCTCCAACACCCAGACCAGCCACAGGTGGGCAGGGTGCCCAAAAGTCACTGAGTTTGGGAACCTCCAGGGTTAGGGAAGAGTCAGTAAAATTCTAGAAAGTTGTGCTTCTTACAGGACAGAGCTGGCCCAGGTGGAGCATTATGAGTAGTCTCAGCAATGGGAGAAGGCCCAGGTGCTCCTAAGAAGGTGATCCCCACAGGCACAGGAACTCACTGTCCCATGACGGATGCTCTGTGACCGGTGCCTTGTGACGGGGTGCCCTGTGACGGGATGCCCTGTGACGAGGTGCCCTGTGACAGGTGGACTCAGGGACATGGGGCATCGTGTCTCCTCCCCAAGCAGCCCAGCTCTGCAGGGTGCCTGTTACGGACCAGGGGTCAAGGGGTGCTCGTGGGCAGTAAATTTCAATGAGCAGAGGCTGGAGAAGTGAAGGAAACCCTGGGCAGAGTGGCCAATCCGCACAGAGGGAGGAAGCACAGCAATCACAGAGCGCTGGAGATGAGAGCACAAGGGCTTGCCCAAGACAGCGGGAGCAGTAGACACTGAGACAGTGGGGTAGAGGGACACATCGCAGGAGGCATCTACCACCAAGTCTGATCAAGAAGAGTGAATCAGAGAACACCAGCAATGCCTGAGAATGTTTAACACTCTGGAAGGTTCTGCCTGGACCCAGCACAGGGTGAAGGCCAGGGGTCCAGGCACAGTCTGTCCTCTGACAGAGTAGCCTCTGGCAGCAAAAGACAGAAACCTCAGACATGAGGGTTTGAGGGAACCTGACTCTCCTAAAGGCACGCTCAGTTCCATGCTTGTTTCTACCAAATCCTATAGATCATAAAGCTTGAAGATTCTTCCCCCCAAAGCTCAATTCAGAAGTCGTAAAAATTGTGCCAAACCAACTTTGGTTCTATTCTACACACAAATGTGCTTCTCCTCTGCCAGCTGGACTCTAACCTAAAACCCAGAGAAAACCCCTGAAATGTCTGGTGTGCAGGGATGATGTCGAGAGAATGCAGCCTGCAGTGGGGCGCCAGGCACGGGACCTTCAGGTTCCCCTCCGCTTCTGACTCTCTAACCGTGGGAGGTTTACACTGTGTGTTTAAAGGCATGGGCTCTTCTCCAGGCCAGGTTTCGCCACATGAACATGCTAAATATCACAATGGCTTTTAAAAAAAAACTACATAAAAGGGCAAGTAACAAACTGGAAAATGAAATGTAAAGCCTACAAAACCAAAGATCCTTTTTTTTTCATATACAAAAAGTTTGTATATCAGCAGTTCTCAATCTGTGGGTCGCGACCCCCTTGTAACAATGAAAATCTACCTGTTGTAGGAGACGCCAACATCTGAGCAAGATGAGCTGCAGCTGAGGCATGGACCTCAGGCCATTCCTCCACAGGAGTTGCTTGTGGGAGAAGCCCGTGCCCTCAGCAAGTAATCATTGTTAATTACTCCCCTCACCTGTATCATTCCCTTTCAATAAAAGGCTGATGCGGCGGCCTTGGGGCTACCCGGAAAGTAAGGGCTAGCCCGCCTTCCACAAGCTTGTACTTCTAATCCGTTTCTCGCCTGGTTCCTTCCTGCGCTAACGGAGACCAGGGCCACAGGAGCCCGACGGTCACAACATTTTGGCGTAAGTCGACAGGATATAGCAGGACACAGCAGGACACCAGGGACGCGGACCAAAGGGTTCAACACCCGGATGTAGGTGAGGCCTTTGGTAGACAGTGGAAGGAAGTCCAAAGGAAACGCCACTCAAGGAAAGTGGGACCTTTGGCCAATTTTAAAAGAAGGTAAGAGGAAGTCCAAAGGGAAACGCCACTCAGGGAAAGTGGGACCTTTGGCCAATTTAGAAATTAAGAAACCGCGCTCAGAATAAGTAAAGTGTCTAATAAACTAAGCAAAGTCATGGGTAACTTTCTGTTTGGGAAGTCGCGGGAAGTAGAAACTGAGGAGGAAAGTGATGTTTAATCAGTATCTGAAAGCGAGGATAGTGAGGTTCAGTGGGAAACTGGACCTAAGAAAAATTGGAAAGCGAGAACATATGATATGAATGAGCAAGTAATCATCGCTATGACCACTATGGCTGAACAAATTAAACAACTGGAAGATCAGATAGGTAGTCTCACTGTCAGAAATGCTAACTCAGCACCCCGTTTTGCCCTCAGCACCTCCCTATGTAAATGAACCACCTGTGACTTCTGTTATGCAGGCTGTATTAGAAGGGCGTAATACTGGTGATTTTGAGTGGGAAAACACTTTGGGGCTTTTTCCAGTTACGGTCACTGATATTCCTCCTGATCCGCAACACCCTCAAGGGGGTCAGCATTTTGACCACCATATGATCACCTTTTCAGTTCTTAAGGATTTAAAACAGGCCGTAGCACAGTATGGTATGCAGTCCCCATTTCCAGAGGTCTGTTGCAGGGGCTTGCACAGGAACAGCGGCTCATTCCCTATGACTGGGATATGATAGCCAGAACTGTTCTTGAATCCGGACAGTATTTACAGTTTAAAACCTGGTGGAAGGAGGAGGCTGACCTAATGAGCCACCAAAACCAACAGAGAGGCATCCCAATAACATCTGAACAGCTCACTGGGCCTGGGCAGTGGCTGGGGATTCCCAATCAACTTCAATACAATGACCTAGCCATAGTCCAGACAAGACTGTTGTCTTAGGGCCTGGGAAAAGGTTCAGGCTCCTGGAGATGTCTCTAAATCTTTCATTAAAATAATGCAGTCGGGAAATGAACCTTATACTGACTTTCTAGCCCGACTAAAAACTGCAGTCGATAAGGCTGTTGCCCAGCCGGAGCTGAGAGACATGCTTTTCCAAATTTTAGCGTTTGAAAATTCCAACTTGGAGTGTCAAAAGGCCCTGCGACCTTTAAGAGCACAAAATGCTCCCTTAGAGGAGTATATACAGGCATGTGCTGACATAGGAACGGAGTCCTATAAGGCTAATTTACTGACTACCGCTGTAAAAGGAAGGGGTCAGTTCATTTCCTCCCCTTATGTAATAGTCCTAGTTTTCTGCTCACTAAAGCTCTTTTTGCTCTTAATTAATCTCAGCAATGATGAAAAGACAGCTGCAGAACGCCATTGGACATCTCTCATTCATGCACCATCCTCTCCAGTACAGCAACCTATCTTTTATAAAAAACCAGATATGACAGAGTGGAAGCCAGGTTACATGCTGCAATGGGGTCAAGCCTTTGCCCATATTATTACAGAACATCAAGAAAGCAGTGGCTATCAGCCCGTTGGATTAAGCCTCGACACGAGCAGGAAACTTTACCAGCACATTAAACAAGTTTGTTTTCACTAACCTTTCTTCTACAGGACCTTAGCTTAGGCGATTTCATAGTGGAGAAATCCTGGATCAATCTCCTCTGCAGGAACTCGAGCTGTCTCTCCATGTCACTGCCCAGTCTCAGCAGGAAGCAGTTAAGAGAGGTCAGCGCCCCTGTTCCCTGAAGAGGCAGCAGGAGCTTCTATGCAGAGTGGAGGATTGATATAGGATTTCGTTATTTGGGGCTGTATATTAAGCCCCAGACAAGCTTAGGAGGCATCGTCTAAACCTTGGACAATTAGGACAACAGAGACCTCGAACAACAGGCTTTAAGGTAAAGGTTATTATGGAACAACAGGCTTTAAGGTAAAGGTTATTATGGTATTGGCAAGGTAAGAGAATTTCACTTGTTGGGTTCGTTTCTATTTCATTGGGCACCTGATCTTTCATACACTGCTTTTTGGAAAGGGTCTGAGTTTGCAGCCCTTTCTCTACCTAAGCTTTGGGTGATGTTTAATACTTCCCATGGAAGCGTCATGAGCCCTATGGGTCAGCCCATAGCACATAGTTAAATGGTGATTAGCACATAGGGGACAAGTTTTCCCCCATGCCTAGTTTGACTAATATGAGTTTCCTTTATGTCCGAATTAGCTCCAATGGTGTATTTTTGTTATGCTTATGTGCCCTTTTGTTTCTTTTACTCAACAGAAAGCTCCTCGGCAAGAACAGCAGAAACAACCAACAACAGACCTCCCTTGCCTCTTCAGAAATGTCTTGAATACACTAGAGGGGGGGAAGTGTAGGAGAGGCCAACATCGGAGCAAGATGATCTGCAGCTGAGGCGTGGACCTCGGGCCATTCCTCCACAGGAGTTCCTTGTGGGAGGAGCCTGTGCCCTCAGCACGCAGTCATTGTTAATTACTCCCCTCACCTGTATCATTCCCTTTCAATAAAAGGCTGATGCGGAAAGTAACGGCTAGCCGGCCTTCCACAAGCTTGTACTTCTAATCTGCTTCTCGCCTGGTTCCTTCCTGCGCTAACTGAGACCAGGGCCATAGGAGCCCAATGGGTCGAGACATCCTGTATATCAAATATTTACATTACGATCCATAACAGTAGCAAAATTACAGTTACAAAGTAGCAACTAAAATAATTTTATGGTTGGGGGTCACCACTACATGACGAACTGTATTAAAGGGTCCAGCATTAGGAGGCATTAGGAAGGTTGAGAACCACTGGTAAGAAACCCAGAAGTGCATTAATGTACATAGTTACCATTCAATAAAAATAAATCAGTAAGAAATAGTTGGGCCCATCAAAAATAGGAAAAGAACATAAACGGGTCAGTCACCAAAGAAGAAATACAATCAGGTAGTAAGTAGGGACAAAATAAAAGTTTGTCTTTGCTAACAGTCTGAGAAATGCAAGAAAAGCAGCCATCCACCTACGTGTCCAACATACAGGCAGGCCACGAGGCTGGGAGGAGGCCGCTGGCTGCTGGGCTGCTGTGACCCTGCCTCTTCTGTTGTACCCTGTGCCCATCAACATGGGTGACTTCTCTGTTAAAACCTTGAGGACGTGCAGAACTTGTGGGAGCTGTTATCCCATTGGGAGGTGTCTGGGGAATCACACACAAACTGCCTCTCACTGGACGGGCACCTCTGACCTCCTTCCCGCTAACCAGTTAATCATGTTTGGGAATCAAAAGGAAAACACAAAGAGGCCCAGTTTGGTACCAAAGTCCTGAGCCCTGAGAGTTAAAAGTTGTGGCCAAAGGTGAAAGGTCAGCTTTCAAAACCCTGAGAGAATTTCAAACAAGCAGCCTTTGTCTGGGCAGTAATTAACTTCTGTGCCTTGTGGACATGACCCGTTAGCACACACAGGGGCCCTGTCTGCGCTACCAGGGCAGGGGCGTCCTGCTGCAGACCACTAGGGCGTCAGGGTTCAGAAGCTTGTGAGTCAGCGCCAGCTAGAGATGCCAAGAAGTGTGGGGCTGTGGGTGCTGGAGAAAGACCCCTCTGAGCTCAGAGCCCTGCCTGCCCCCAGCCCCTGTGAACTGAAGGCCCATCACAGGGACTTCCCCAGGTCACAAGCACCTGGCTGGGGAAATTCCATGCCTGTGCTGTGAACCAAGTCTATTAAAGACCATGGCCAGAGCCCAGGCAGATCACCAGTGGAGGTGGGAGGCCAACTGCCTCACCTGCTTCCTGTGTGACAGTGGCTGCCCCCACCCATCTTGGGCTGGTGCAGCACCCTGGTGATGGCACAGGGGTTACCTGGAACTTGTTGGGGTCTGCTCCTCCAGCCTGAGCTACAAAGAGGCCGGCGCCAGGCTCCAGCTCTAGGCCCCGCGAGGATCGGGCGAGTGGCATCCTCTGGACCTCCTCACAGTCCACGTAGAGTGCCACAGAGCTGCTGTCCACACTGAGTGCAAAGCGGGTCCACTGGCCAACCATGGCGGGGTGGTGGAAGCTGGCAGCTGTATGGGTCTGGGCCATGCCCGGCTCCGTGTAGAGTAGTTCAATATACTGGTGCCCATCCTGCACCTTGGAGAGCTTCACGCCCAGCAAGACCACTGTCTGCGCCGCGTCCGTGATGGCGAACAGTACCCCCGCATCCTCCGTGGCTGGCCGGACGTGGAATAGCAGTGAGAAGTCTCGGAAGAAGGGACTGGAGACATGGTAGAGGGCCACCTGGCCACTGTTGGCATCTGGCCCAAACTGGTAGGCCAGCCCGACCTCAGGGTCCTCGATCTGCACCACTTGTAGGGGTGGGGGATCCCCGAGGAGCTGTAGCAGCCCCACCTCCGTGACAGCACGCTCTGCAAAGAGGAGAGGGACAGCTGGTGAGGCAGTGCACAGGACAGGGTAGGGACCACGGGGCAGCCTGGGACACAAGCCGGGCAGGGCACAAAGGGGATACTGAGTCTGGAGGGCTTACCATGTGCTGAGCAACCTGTCAGGCCCCTCAGCTACCCCCACCATGGCCGCCCCACAGCCACCCTGGCTCTCCAGGCCCTCTCTATAGATGCACAGTGCAGGGAGCCATCTCCCTGTGGGCCACTCCCTCCACTCCATGAACTCACAGGCCAGGACAGTGATACCCCAGAGATGGGCATTAGCTGTGTAGGGACGGGGAACCAGGGCCAATACCCACAGCAATCAAGGGGCCTGGCACGAGGCCTGGGGTGAACCCCTGACCCCATGCCCCCACCCACTCTGACCACAGAGCACTACCTGGCCACCTGGTTGCCTCGGTGAAGCTATGGGAATCTCACCAAGGTCCCCCCAAGGCTGGGGCATGGGCCAGTGTTTCAGGGCATGGAGGCCCTCACCACCCTGCCACCTCTATGCTGGGGCTACAATTGTTCCAACTGCAGGGGCCACAGACTGATGCCCACTAGCACCCCACAGTCTCCCAGGTGGCTTTGCTGTTCCTGCCAGGCAATCCATCACAAACCTTCACTTCATTCTTTCACTTCATTCATTCCTGCCTACACTCAGCCCAACCTCACTACAACACAGGGCCGCCTGTCCTCCTAGTGTCATTGCGGTCATGGGCCACAGGCTCTCACACTACCGGAGCCCTGTGGCAGCATGACCTGGGCTGGGGACACTGGAGTTCTCACCCCTCATTTCCTGCCTTCCCTGGGAGACTGGAGGCCATGATGGGAAGACATGGGCCCTCTGCTTGTGATGCCTCACCTCCCCAGGCTGAGGTGTTGGGAGCAGGGCCACCTCTGCATCCAGGGAGTTCACTGCCAGCACAGAAGGGGCACCCACTCATGAAGGGGCTTTGCTCACTGGAGACGTCCTGGCACCCCCACTGTGTGGGCAGAGCCTGGACTTTGGAGCCACAGTCTGGGCCAAGGAAACCACCCCAAGGCCTTTCTCCCAAGTCCCCTATAGTATGGTCATTGCTTCTAACAGAAGGTGGGACAGTCACACAGGACCCCTGCACAGAGGGCAGGCTCTGCAGGTGGGCCCATGGCCAAGAGCTCTCCTGGGGAGAGGCTTCTGATGTGTGGCCGTCCCGAGGAAGGCAAGAAGGGCAGCCGGGGAGCATGAGCGTGTGTGTACAGTGTGCATGTGTGTGCTCATATGTATACACACACGTGCTGTCCTGACTTGGGGCTACCAGGGGCAGAGAACGATAGGGCAAGTTGCATCTATCTGTTTACTGAGAACAAAAAATGGAAACAGAGGGAGAGACTAGAGCTCCCCATGCCTGGGGATGTGGCCTGGAGTCCCAGTTGCCCAAGGGCCCCTCTGAAGTGCTGTTGACAACATGAAGAAACAAACATCTTGATTAAGTAAATATGGGGGCAATCACAAAAGCAAGTACTGTAACTATGGTTCATAACTACTTTTTGTTTTCCACATGATTTAAGAGATAAATACATTTAAAAAATTATTATTCTACAAACTAGTATTATTGTGACTTTGGTTTGTGACTCCACATTTTTCTACACAATTTAAGAAGCTAATGCATTTAAAAGAAGTATTTTTTTGTTTGGGGGTACACAATGTAATTAAGAGACAAAATAACCCAAAGCCGTGGGAAGGGCCGTGAAGCAAGCGCACTCTTGCATGTTATGGAAGTCAAACTCGTATAAATTCAAAATAAAGTGCTAAAATTTTTGGATGTTAAATGTAATCTCCATGGCAGCCACAAAGAAAATAGCTATAGAATATACACAAAAGGAATTGAAAGTCAAATTTAAACACTTTGCTATAAAAAAAATCAATTAAAAACAAAAAAGAGCAGTAACATAGGAAAGAAGGGCAAAAAACTCTATAATATAGAAAACAAATAGCAAAATGACAGAAGCTATTCCTCATTAGTGATTATTTGAAATGTAAATGGTTAAACTCTCCAATCAATAGACAGGTCAGCAGATTAAAAAATACCCACATGGGCAGCACCTATAGCTCAATTGGCCATGTACACCTATAGTGGCGGGTTTGAACCTGGCCTGGGCCAGCTAAGCAACAATGACAACTACCACCAAAAAATAGCCGGGCACTGTGGAGGGCGCCTGTAGTACCAGCTACTTGGGAAGCTGAGGCAAGAAAATCACTTAAGCCCAAGAGTTGGAGGTTGCTGTGAGCTGTGATGCCACGACACTCTACCCAGGGCACTCTACCCAGGGTGACAGTGTAAAACTCTGTCTCAAAAAAAAAAAAAACATGATCCAAGTATATGCTGTCTACAAGATACCCACTTTAGATCCAAAGACGCAGTTTGAAGGAGAAAGGAAAGGTAAGATATTCCATGTAAACAGTAACCAAAAGAAAACAGAAGTGACTATACTAATACTAGACAAAAGCAGACTTCAAATAAAAAAAGTTCACAAGAGACAAAGAAGTAAATTTTATGTTAATAAAAGGTTTGATACAGAAAGAAGATAAAACCATTTTCAACATTATCTATCATCAGAATACATTAAGCAGGCTCAGCGCCTGTAGCTCAGAGGCTAGGGCGCCAGCTACATACACCAGAGCTGGCAGGTTGGAATCCAGCCCAGGCCTGCCAAACAACAATGACACCTACAACCAAAACATAGCCGGGCATTGTGGCAGGCACCTGTAGTCCCAGCTACTTGGGAGGCTGAGGCAAGAGAATTGCTTAAGCCTAAGAGTTGGAGGTTGCTGTGAGCTGTGACGCCATGGCACTCTACCAAAGTAAGACTCTTTCTCAAAAAAAAAAAAGAAAGAAAGAAAGAAAAGAAAAGAAAAAATACATTAAACAAAAACTGACAAAACTGAGAGGAGGAACAGACATTCCACAACGAGGATGAACTCTTCCCACCCCACTGTCAACGATGCACAGAAGAACCAAAGAGCAAAGAAGAAACAAAGAACTTTGCCAATACCACAAACCAGCAGACCCAACACACAGACACACCACATTCTACAAACACAGCACATGTGTCATTTCCCAAGAGAGGCTACAAGGCCCAATAGGTTATAAAGGCAGGTATCATTCACCGTATCTTCTCAGACCACAACAAGAAAGTGAGAGGTCAGTAACAAAAGTAAAACCAGGTTCGGCGCCTGTGGCTCAAGTGGCTAAGGCGCCAGCCACGTACACCCAAGGTGGCGGGTTCAAATCCAGCACGGGCCTGCTGAACAACAATGGCAGCTGCAACCAAAAACTAGCCGGGCGTTGTGGCGGG